TTAGTTTCATTTATTATATCTTGTTTGTGTGCCAGATATGCAGAGCAATATTTGATCTTCCTTTCCTCTCATAAGAAGTATAGAACAAGTGAATATAAAAGCTGGCATCCATCCTGCTGACGAGGGTCTCATCTTATTAACAACAACGATCAGGGTTTCTAATCCATTAATGGCCAGTCCTGCACAAATAAACACACACACAGTGGCATTTAGCTAAGGTTGATACATGATATAGAACAACGGTAACATACTAACCTTCTGAGACATGATGTGTTGACAAATTTTACCATGCTGTCTACCTATTACTGTATTTCTTCAACTATTGGTGTTTTCATCCATCCAGCTAAAAATTTTCTTAACTGCTTATCCACTTTAGATACACTGGGGGGCTGAAGCCTATCCCAGCTGATTTGGGGGAATAATAGACTACACCTTTGAATAAGGTGTAGTCTATGAATATGAATAAACATGTATTTTCAGCAATCTGAATAAACAAATTTCACATTGCTGAAAATACATGTAACTGCAAGATATCTTATGTGTATATGTTTAAAAGTGAAGCAAGCTGATTTTTTTCATTCTTTTTAACTGTATACCACTGTATACTCTGTGGTACACAGTTAAAAAGGCATCAAAGGCATTAAAGAGTTAAGTTACAGTTCTATGCTTTCTATGTCTAGGTGGTAACTGAAAATGACTGGATATGCTGCAGTGAAAAACATGCCACCAGTGTAAATAAATGTTTGTCATGTGGTGAGAGAGTTAATCAAATATATTCTATTGTTTGACAACACGCAAAGTAATTTCCATATAAATCCATGCATAGACTCATTTAGAACATTTTAAGTCCTTCAAGCAGTCGACTGACAAAGATGCTTGCTTTAAGCTACCTCTGACTAAGATCCCCTAGGACACGGCTGCCAGTACAACTGCTTAATGCCTTAAGGTTATTGAGGTTAAGGGTTGAGAAACATAACTATGTTATACATTTTAAGGTTGGACTCACAACTAAGAGAACCCTATGCACCATAGGTTTATTTTCTTGTCATGCCATGTGATCTTCCATCAGTGAGCGGGGGAAACCCCATTGATTGAGGGGAAGCACTGCAGTATTAGAAATAACATACAGTTCTCAATGCTGCACAACCTGTGGAACACCATTCCTTTTTTAAAAAATGGTGAAAAAATCACATTCCAGTGCAGTATTTTACCATTTTTAATTAATTAATCAGATATTTGTACAGACAGATGCAAAACAAAATAAAACGATTAAACAAAGCATTTGCATCTATTACAAAAAAGAGCAAACAAAGGACATTTAAAGTCCTCCATCTTGGGATAATGGCATTGCTGCTGAGAATCAGTGGATTGTTTTTGATTAAGTTTTGGCTGCCTGAGTGTATTATTCTGAACACTGGCATGGTGTAACATCAAACCACAGCAGCACTCCCCATTCATCTCTGCAGGGTGCTTGATAGAGATGTTGTTTCAGCAGTTCTTTAACCATTACCTAACAGCTATATGGCTGGAACATAGAAACAATGCCTACAGCAGCATATGAATGACACAACACGAATGATATAAGAGCAGCATTTTCTCTTACCACTCCTGTTGTGGTTCATCAATGACCAGGAGAATTTTAAACTTCTTAGGTGTCGTGACTTGGGTCTGCTCCACTAGCCCTGCAGAGGCAGCTGTCTGCTTAACAACGTTGGTAATGGAACTGAAGAAACCCGATCCTGTCGACTGAACTGGCTGGGGTTTCCTCTCTGGAGCAGGGGAAGTGGCTGGAGGTGTTGGTCCAGATGTCGGAGACTTGGCAGGGGTGTTGGAGGCAGGTGGAGGAGGCTGAGCAGGATCGGGCCTCTGAAGGTCTGTCATGTAGCCATTGGGCAGGTTGGAGATGAACGTGCTGTCTGAGAGACGCCGACGCAAATAATTCATGGCTGCAGAGGAGCAAGAAGAAGAGTCAACAAGCACTGGGTGTGGAAAAGTATTCTGCCGAGAAGCCCCTGTTCTCAGTGGTACAGCTGATAATGGCTGAGCTCTCAGTGCAAACTCCCAACAAATGTATTCCCTCTCAGCTCAGTGGAGCATCCTCGAAGCTCCCCCTCACTGGCAGTGACGCTACACTCTCCCATAGCCAATCACTTTACCCCGTGCTTTCCTCAAGCATTGCAAATGATGCTCTGGCTGTGCCTCTCCTTCCTGCTATCGCCCTCCACTCTCTCCTCTCTCTCCCCCCGGCATGCCTGCCTTTTCTACCCCTCCCCCATTTTCTACTGCCTTAGAGACGTCATCCTTTTTTGAACCAGAGCATGAAAAATAGAGGGGTTTCCAGTGAAAGTGCAAGAAGGTGTACTGTGTACTACATCATCCTCCCCTTACTCATACTCCCCTTGTTACTCAGGTTCACCCTGCCCTCTGTCTGGGTGCTGTTTTCCCTGCTTATAGAATGCAGCCATAAAATCTAAAATGGCTGTTAGGACTGGTGAATGAGAAGAAGCGTCATCAGCCGTCCCTTGAGAAACAAATTCATGCACTAAAACTCTCTGTCTTGATTGTTTAATGAACCTCTCTCTATGTAATAATTTTCCTTATTATAATTTACTACAATAGTTGTTTAATTTAAAAATATTACAAATTCAATTGGCTAACATGTCTCCATTATGGGTGGCACAATTCATTGTGTTCCTTATATTTTATATAATCGTTTGATGCTTATGAGAGCATAAAAACACTGCATACAATATTCTTAGCACTAATTATCACAAGGTTCACTAAAAACACAGTAATTTCTGTAAAGCACTTATTAATTATATCATCAATACTTATAAGACAAAACAAAAGACTGGATTTTTTAAAACAATTCAATAAATCAATAACTTGTGATGTGCAGTGGTAAAAGATTGTTAAAGTGTAAAAATATAAATTCAAACATAGGCACACATAAAAAAGTCAGGACATTGAATCTTTATATCGCAGTTTGAGTATATTTTCTAATGAAGGGCTAATATTACTATATGACTTCATTCATCATGGCATGACTTGTTAACTAGAAATCTTACAGCCCAACTTCAGTCCTGCATTTTAACGGTTAATAACAAGGTAAAATATTAATATAATACTTTTTGAGATATTATAAGATACTTGCACATACCGTGTATATTTTATATGTTGTTTATGACATTTTGCTAAATTTTTACATGGAATTAGTTTCGTGCTTTATAAATATTTTTACAGAATTTGAAGATTTCCTCTAATACTAAAAATCTGAAATTGGAGAAAATTCCTCTGTTGCTTGGCAACGTGACACAATAATAATAATAATAATAATTTAAATAATTAATTCTATGGAATATAAATTTACCTTATGAATTGAATTTCAGGTCTACAACTATTTATTCATTCATTTTACGTTTCACTGATTAAGGGAAATTCTGGGAAATATGATATTTGTATTTTCTGACCCTGATCTCTGTCATTTGTGCAAAATGCCTGTAAACCTGTTGACAGTCAGCTACTATATATTTTTTACTGACTCTGTAGGACTAGTTGTTAGCAGCAATTTGGATTATGTTTAGCGAGCCAAAGCAAATAAATGGTGCTTAAAAGAGGAAGGAGAGAAGACGGCAGGATAAGTATACCTCTAGGACTTTAGATTTGAGCAGGGTCCAGGCCTGCCCTCTACTAACTGTGCCCCGTCAGCTGAATCCTACTGACACACTTCAGCTACAAGTTACTAATTCATAAAATTTGGTAATGTAAAGTTAAAGCTCATTTCCCTAATAAGTTAGTGTGGGCTCACTTTATTTCTTGAGTTGCTTCTGCAGCAACTGTAGTAACTAGCATGACTAAGGAGTACACTGAATAGATGGGCCTATGCAGGTCAGACTTTGGGGAGCACCCCTCATGTCTCTGCAACTAAAAAGATGTCATTTATCAACTTGTGCAGCTTTAATACATGACCCTACTGAAAACAGTGCTAAACAAATGGAACTGTATTGAAGATATTGTGTGCTCACAGCCAACTGTCCTTGTGTGTGGTGAATTCATTGATCCACTTCTGTACTGAGAGAAAAATGTCTCTTGTGTTTGTATCCTGCTTTGACATGTTTACAACTGTTACTAGCTGCTATTTCTTTATGAATGTACTATGCATTAATACTTGTAGCTGTGCATCTTGCATATATGGGGTGGGGGGGTGGAATACCTTGAGCCCAATTCTCCCCTGTCAAAGCTGTTGCTAGTCCAGTTGATCAGTTGATATGGTGTAAAGATTTGTGATTAACAGGCTCCTCTCTTTTGTTGAATGCCTGAAGACATTACAGTTATCTTTATGTCACTTTAACAAGGGTGACTTTTGTTTTTGGGGTTGTGGCAGCATAGTTGAGGAAGATAATATGAGTTTATGTGTGCTATTGTGACACCATGTGGTAGTATCAGTGTAGTGAGCAACAAAACCAACCTCAGCTTTGCTTAAGTCTGAAACCCAGCCATTCTAGTCAGATGTCTGTGGATGAGACGCTCCAGCAGGGCATTGTGCCCTCAGTCTGTCCTCAATGTGTTGTGCTGCAGTCAGACTGCAGGAAACTAAACTCACTGCAGTGAAAATCACTGGAAACTCCTCATAATGATTCGTGTAAAATCAACAGCAGTTCAGAGAAAGCAGCTCTTTGAATGTTTACTTTCTTCACATATCAAAAACATTATGTATATGGTCAGTAGTGGCATTAAAAAAAAAATCAAGTAGCCTATTGTGTTTCACGTTAAACCCATTTCATTTGGGCATCTTCATAGGCTGCGTAGCTTGATAAACTTGAAAAACAATGTTACTTTTAGGATGATAGGAGAATTTATTAATGGTTAATATCAAAGTGTTCATACCGTATAAAAGTACCTTTTAAATATGCTTCAAAAAGCCCCGGTTCGCCTTGTATCTCTCCGCTAGGGCCGCTCAGCTCTCTTTTGTTGTCTGAGGACTGCTGCTGTGTGAAAGTGCGTGAAGAAGGCAGAGTACGTAGGCAGACTCGGCTAACTATGGTGTTGCCGTAAAGCTAATTTTTGTCGAAGAAGTAAGTATCATGGAAGAATAGGAATACCCATCTTTTGGAATTCAGTTTGTTGGATATAGACTATTGAACTTAACCTGGCACTAAGTAGATACTGACTTGTATTCTTTTTAGGTTTTTGCTAGTTAAAACGAAAACCATTGACCTAGAGCACTAAAAAGTTAGCGACTTGGCTAACGTAAGTTTGTGTCGTGAGTAAAGTAGACAAAGTTCGCTGTCTTGTATTTTGGCTTCAGCAACTAAGCAGACCGCTGGTCGCAATACACGTATAACATTGTATTTTAATAACAACAACCTCTTCAATATAAGCGTTTATAACTTCGTAGTTCAATTTAAAGCTCGCACTGATGAACGGCTAGTAGCAACTAGCTCAGCGCAGGCTACGTGTTTAGCTAGCCGCACTAAAGCCTGTAGTCTTCAGTGTCATGAAGTGCCTGTCGTTGAACAAAATAAAGACTAATGTCTTTTGGGATTACCATTAACTGGCGTGTAAACGTATGCCATTTTTAAAAACATGACAACATTTCTATCTCCTTTAGGATAGCTTGCTAACGTTAATGTTAGCAAGTAGCCTGTTCGTGTAAATGCTAGAATGGACATGATAAACTCTCAGTTCCTGGACAAGATGAACAATAACATTGGGAGACTGCACTACGAAGGTAAGTTTGTCTTTTTTCTTTCTTTTGGTCCTATAGTTCCTGAGTTTATTTATAAATCGCAACACGTTGTGGTTTCCCTAAATTCAGCGCCAGATACTCCTGTGTTGTGATTTGCGTTACCCTTTTGACTATCCTGACGCTAGCGTCGAGACTGACGACATGTTAAATAACTTGTTGGTGCGGAGAACAACGACTGTTTTGTTTAATAACATCGCAACTTTAAAATACGATTTTTATAGCCTGTATTTAACAAGTTGGCATTGAATAATAATAACATTCATTTGAACTTTGTAGAAATTCCCAAGCTATAACGGCATACGCTACAATGCTGCTTCATGTGATGTAGCAGTGATTAAGCTTCAGGTTGTGTAACACTCATTTGTGCCACTGCTTAGTCAAACATCTAAAGAAATCAGGAAATTTTGCTCAAAAATTTGCTTTATCATGTTTCTACACACAGTTTCCTTTGGGCTTAGATGAGTGGGTGATTTTTAACTGCTTGTGTATTGCTCCATTGGCTTTCTTGATCAAAGTTTACTTCTCAAACAAATTGCACCTCCATAAATGAAACAAAGCCAGAGTCGTTCTATAATAGAAATTCAAAAAAATAAATGTAAATTATAATTTAGTTGCCATTTACTTAATTTGTGATCTCCGGTCCCCCAGTGAATCTGGTATTATTATTTTTTTAATTCACCAAAACCCAAAGTACTTCTCCATTATAACTATATGTGTCAAGTGTTCTCTTTTGTGCAATGGCCCGAGATTATGTAATATTGTCAACTTTTCCGTCTTCTGCTAAGCACTTTAAATTGCAATTACTTGTGTGAAAGGTCCTTTGAATACATTTTACACAGGTTATTCAAACTTGGTGTAAAAACAGTTATTTACATTGTTTTAACATTAAGCAATATGTACTTAGTCAAACTGGTTTCTACTTTGCTTTTTGTAGCTCATGGTTTATTAAAATCTGGCCAAATTGTATTACTTGGTATATTTATGAAACTCTTGATCACCTACCAGTGCAGTCTCAAAAAGTCAGTTTAAAATGAATTGATGGAATACACAGAGTCCTTATAGTTTACTGTGTTTATTGTGTATTTTATTCTGGAAACTTGCTTTTAGTCTAAATTAATTTAATTAAGTTATTTCTACTACTGAACTCTTTCCCACAGATGAGTCCAAGATGCCCTCCCTTTCTGCCACTATGTCCAATATAAGTGGGCCTCCTCCTCACTGCCCAAGCAAACGAAAATATGGCGAAGAACAAATGGAAGACCGATTCCACTGTGATGAAGACCACATGACCAAAATGAGCAGATTGTTTGCCACCCAGCTGTAAGTGGCTTTAAAAAATTATTATGATTTTGTGTGGGTCTTGAAATTATTGCTGTATTGTTTTTTTTTATATTTGTTGGATTGAATAAATTGTATGCAGTGCAATATATGAGTTGTAAATGTAATACATCATGTGACAAGTGTCATGCATTACAAACGGGGTCCCCCTGATACTTTTCTGATTGTCATACAAACATGTAAAATTATTAAGAAGCCCTAACCTTGTATTCATCTCCTTTTTTCGTTTGGTTTCATTTAAGTCTCGAAGCCAGCATATGGTAATATTTATTTATTTATTTATTTATTTATAAATACAGCACTCAGTGTTTCAGTGTGTTCTGGCTGTGAAACGTATTTATTTTATCCAATATGAGTAAAAACATTCAGTCTGATGTTATTCAGAATACAGGCTGAAAGGGAAAAAAAAATCTGACCATGACTTTACTGATCAGCCTCTTAAAGTTTGATGGTAAAGTGTGACACAGAGAACCCCAAAAAGTTGATTCTGTTGGTCTGGACATACTTCCTTACCTGGTTGGTTGAGCATGCATCAAGACCTGACACAAAGTAGTTCACTGATATAAACAAATCTTAAAATGAAGCTGTATATAATCTTAAGAAAAGTCTACAATAATAATAATTATAAAGCTGCACATTACAAATGAAAACCCCTTCCTGTACTTCATCTGTGTCTGCTTAAAAAAAAACATCCCCTCTGCACAACAATTAAAACAAAAGTTGTCCACGAAGCTGCTAGTACATTTTATTTTACCTGTCTTTATCAAGGGGACGTCCCTCTGCTGGAGACAACCGTAGTGAGCACTGGAGCCTCAGCCACAGTCCTGTAGAGCACGTTATTTCCTCCTCTAATGGTCTCCATGGGAACCATCTGTATGCTTCCATTGCTGGCTATGCTGTAGACCAGCCGATACCTCTGACCAAAAGCAGCCATGACATTGGAGTCAGGGGAACAGAGAGGTCTGTCATAAGTGGAACTGTAGAGCGCCAGCAGGTACGTCAACTTGTAGCACATAAAGAGAGCATTGTGATGGTTTTTTTGCTGTTGTTTTTTTTTTAAAAAAAAGGTTGCACACACTTAATTTTTTTCACCTTTCTTGTTGTTCAGTGAGATATGACCAGTGGATGGATAAAACATGTACTGAAATGCATTTACTGTGTGCAAAACAACAACTATCTATGATCGCTTCTGTTGTGAAGAAGGGGGGGGTGGGGGGGTGGGGGTGTATTGTAAGGCTGGCAAAATCAGTTTTGAGAAACTGTTTGAATACTGACCTATTTAAACCTCTATGGTTTATTACAGTCAACAGTAAAGAAAAACACAACTACTAGCTAATGTGAGAACAAATAAAAATATGAATTTCACTAAGAGGATGAACAAAGAAAATTTTTCTTATCTGCCTGTAAAGACAACATATCAGTTTATTTTTAATATCTTTATATATTTTGGCTTATGTATTTAAGTCAGTGTAAGGAGATCAAAATAACAGATATGAAAAAAGGTAAAAGTTACTACATGTGATGGCCAGCAAAGATTTAATGCCACGATTAACACAGATGACAGAATAAAGACTGTGTTCACAGTGTGTTGACCATGTTTCCTGTTGTCCTGTTACTAGAGTTGTCTTGCAGATTTGGGGTGCACATAAGTGGTCCGCAGCTGCGCATTCGCTGTCAAAATAAAAGACGTGCACCAGATAAGAAGTTGCAACGCGCGTTTGCATACATATTAAAGGAACTGTTTTTGTCCGCTAGAGTGGGATTTTCACAGCATATTCTGCACCACATCTCTGTGCGTTCATCATTTGTTTGAAGCCAGCTCACCTCCTGCAACCACTTTTCCGAGAATACGCACTTCTTTTCGGACTCCTTCTGACATTTCTTTGGAGGTGGAGGAACACCAAAATAATTGCTTAAAGGAGCTTCTTCGACATCTTTAAGAGTTCTAAACAAAGGTCTGTCCTCCTCCAGAAAATCTTATGTACGCAAACGTACGTTGCAACTTCTTATCTGGTGCCCATCTTTTATTTTGACAGTGAATGCGCACCTGCGGACCACTTATGTGCACCCCTGTGTGTATATATATATATATATCTGCCTTTGCAAGATGGTTGGAAGTACTGTGTAAATATTTTAAGATTGATCACAGATGGATAAAAAAACCATTTAACCAGTAATGTAGGTCAGTAATGAATCCTTTTTTTTTTTTTTCTCCCTCTCTCTCTCTTTTCTTATACAGAATCGTCCCTCGGTTATTACCTGTGCCCCTGCGAGCAACCGCAACTGCAACCTCTCTCACTGCCACATGAATGGTTGCACTACTAGCCCACATACTGATCCGAGAAAGGCTAATGGTAAGTCTTTTAAGATACTTGCACTAACAAACTAATATATTTGTCTTTCCATGTACTGATTTGCTAAAGTATGACAAAAAAAAGATCTAAAAGACATGTGGAGTTTTAAAGTCAACAGTGCTGGGTGGTTGCACAAAAATATATCCAAGTTGCATATTTTTATTTTGCTAATTTAACCAATTTATCAACGTTAAAATCCAACTTTGTCAATAATTAAGAGCAATTGCTGCCACAAGTTGGTGTCTCTGTCCTTTGTGTATGTGTTCTCAGTCTCTTTGCAAACATAAAAGTAATATGTGGTTGTACATTGGCCAGTTTGAAAATTCTTGAGCTATCATGCAGCCCTAATCAGATGTAGTGTGAGTTTTTGACTCACTGTTATGCAAACTAGTTTATTGCAATGGTTGCATACAACAAAAGCTTATCCTAAAACAGGGCTCGCAAAATTTCAAAATCCCTGGTAGCCCTTCGGGCAGGGACTCTTCAGTTTTTGGCAGCCCAAAATAAATTTAAGTAGCCCGAATAAAAAAGAGAGCAATTTTTTGATTGATGTTTTGTTTCCTGTTTTGTTTGCTTTACAATATTATACATTAAAGTATAATATTGTAACGGAAACAAAACATTAATCAAAAAATTGTTGAAACACAAATTACAACATTGTATAAAAATTACAAGCATCAATTCAAATACTTGGTTCTAATTGAACAGAAACTGATTCTAATTGAACTTGTAAGAACTGTAGAACATGAATCAGTCTGTGTCAGATCCTGAATTTGAAATTTCC